CGCCTGAAGTATGCTTCATGGAGCATTTTACACACACACACACACACACACACACACACATGACAGGCTTCAGTGCCAGTCCCACACACGGTTACACCTTTTTCTAGTACATCCATTTTTTTACCATGGCTTAAATACATTTCCATGCATAATTTACCATCAGGAATAAAGATTAATTACCTGCAAAATTTACTCGAAAATTACCTGTAACCCTCCGAGACCTCGCTGGCTTTGAACTGCTTCAGAAACATTAATAAATCATAGATTTTTTTTTCAACAGTGTAATATTTTCGGAAGGGGGGGAAGGGGGGGGGAGAGGATGAGAGAGGCCATTTAGAAGCAACGTCACCCTTCGTACCTCAGCTTCCTGATAAACCGGCAAAAGCAAAGTTAAGCTTTCATAGCTTTTTTGAGAAGTGACGAGCGAAGGTCAAAGTCCGTAGAGTTTACACTCTCGCTGGAATGGCTGACTGACACAAAAAAACAAAAGAGTGGGCAAACAAGGCCTTAATGACAGAGGGCGAGGGTTATAAAACTGTACAGACAAACAGGACAATATTGACTTCTAACGTACAGAGGGTGATAAAAGCCTGACGAGCTCCAAAAAATTGGTCACACTTGCATAATACATTACACAATGTTGTTAAGAAGCACTGTACGATAAAATACAGTGTTAGCAAGACGTACAGACAGGCGAGAAGGTAAATGTGTTTGTGAATTAAGCCTGTGTGTGTGTGTGTGTGTGTGTGTGTGTGTGTGTGTGTGTGTGTGTGTGTACCTTTTTACCAGGCTTCTTGTCTCTCTTTCCTGTGTCTGTCTCACTGTCTTTACATTGTACATTATATTTCTGTATCATGACTTCAGACATTTGTCAGTCATATGTAGTATTGTCAGCCTTATGTCTTGTAAGCCATGTGGCGTAGTCTCAGCCATGTGGCGAAATGATCAGCTGTTGGGCATAGTATTAACATTTTTCCCTTAATATTTAAATAAACACAATGCAACATTCCCCCCCCCCCTTTCAAAAAATTATTTAATTCATTTTTAATGCAGAAAGTTGTTATATGGAAATTATGAAATTATGACAAATATGCTAAGGTGGAAATTTAGTGAAAAGATGAGAAAATGATATTATGCAGGAGCTCTTGACCCGACCTGCTGGACCTGGCTTAATCTTCTAAACCTGACCTAACCTGATTCCAAGGCTGAGGGACTGATTACATCGAACTCCTCTTTTTCTACCGTTCGTCTCTGTATAGGACTGTACAAAGTCACTGTGGCAAAACATTTCCTCAATAAAGATCCCGAAATATTGCACAAACATCTCATTCTTAAACTTTGTGTTTAAAGTATTTATCATATCTGACCTAACCTGTTCAACCTCAACCAGGCATCAATGCGATATTCCTTCATACACAATGGGTTTCATACTCTAGGTAAAGAAATGCATCAGCAGGAGCTGGAAGACGTCATTCTTCTTGTAGGTTCGCCGGTCTTGTCCCGGCCCGGGTCTTTCCAGATGGTAACCCGGCGGGAGACGTCAGTAAGGCTACGAGAATATAATCAAACATTCCACCAAGAGTTCATTAGCTATGGCAGCTTTAAAGGCTTCCTTCCAGCAGAGCTGGAGTTACTATCAGTTGGGAATTACCATCTCTCAGGATGACCCTGACAGGTAAAATCAGTCATAGGAAGGTCTGAAACGGTAAAAATGTAATCTATATTCTCAAATAACCTAATCAAAGCTTAAAGCTCTCCAGGAGCTTTGTCAAGCCGCTCCTGGAGAGCGAAACGTTGCCACAATAAAATGTCACAGTTACACTTGTGTCCTTTTACTTTGCATATTGTCGGTAATTCTACCAACATATCTGATCAGATATGATTTCCTTTGTGTAAGAGTAAAGATGAAGAAATTTAAGTCATGACAGAAGGAACAAACTGAAAGAAGGAACTAGGGAAATGTTAGAAAACAAAACAGGTCCAGTGGGATACAAAATCAAGTACATTTGTTGATTGTGGGTGAAGGAGCGGGTCCCAGCACTGGTCACAGACCTGGCCGAGGGGGCGTTGACCCCCGAAACCCTCTCCAGGTATACTGGTAATATTGCCAGACAAGACAAATGTAAATTATGCTACTCCAACTCAACCAGATTTTGTACATCACAGATTTTTTGTATTACATTAAATTAAAGAATACTAACTTACGACAATGATTTTATTAATTTATTATTATTATATTGCTAAAATCTACATGTTCCAAAACATTAACAAAAACATTAACCTCAGTGAAAATCGCCACGAACACCCAACTCTGCTTGACACTGCTAAAACCTTTATCATCACCAGTGTAAAAAAAAAAAACAAATCCGCTGCAAATGTTGAACACAAACACTCTCTCTCCCCCGGACATCACATTTACCAATTAATGTTTTCGTAATATCTCTGATGGAGATTGACAGCTACATTTGCTGCTGCCAGAACACCGACGTTTAGACAAACATGTGAATATAAAGATGGGGTGAGGATGTTGCAGAACCGAGGGACATCATTTTGTCATGGTTAGGAATCAATGCCAGTAGGGTACGTGAGGGTGTGAACACTGTAGGTGGCCAGGGCCTCAGCCTTCCTTCTGTTACACAGCAATACAGGAATGGAACGAGTTGCCTGATTATGTCAAAGCCAGTCTTAATATAAACCAGTTTAAGAAGACAGGAAAATGCATGATGTTACAGCTGTGTATTTTTGTGTGCTCACCTAGTTGTGGTTGCGGGGGTCGATTCACAGCTCCTGGCCCCGCCTCTTCAGCTGGCCGCTAACCACTCTTCACGCTCCGTGAGCGTTATCATACCTCTTCTTAAAGCTGTGTGTGTGAATCAAGGAGTGACAGCCATTAGAAAAGGATTTAATTTTTATATCACAATAACTAGTAAAGACGAGATCATTACGAACGTAATTAGATGAATTCGCCCATACGCATTTGCAGGAATTATTATAATCAAGGGGAAGCGCTAAACCAGTAGGATTATACAGCGCCTGTGGGGGGGATGTGGAAGGCATTCAGGCTTAATTCGGGGAACTTGGAGCACAGATCCAATTCCCTAGATCAAGAGCCCCTCACCAGCATCAAGGAACCTTCCTTGAGGGCAATGATTAAGTCACGTTAAGCTCAAGTGTGTTATTTAGCGCAGGAAAGAGCTACAGCAAGGAAAACAAAACTATTATGATTTGGAAAGAGGTGTGAAGATAGACAAAACTGACTGGCGTCCCTTAGGGATCTGTCCTGAGAACGGTACTTTTCCTGATCATTTGACTGGCGTCCCTTAGGGATCTGTCCTGAGAACGTTACTTGTCCTGATCATTTGACTGGCGTCCCTTAGGGATCTGTCCTGAGAACGGTACTTTTCCTGATCATTTGACTGGCGTCCCTTAGGGATCTGTCCTGAGAACGGTACTTTTCCTGATCATTTGACTGGCGTCCCTTAGGGATCTGTCCTGAGAACGGTACTTTTCCTGATCATTTGACTGGCGTCCCTTAGGGATCTGTCCTGAGAACGGTACTTTTCCTGATCATTTGACTGGCGTCCCTTAGGGATCTGTCCTGAGAACGGTACTTTTCCTGATCATTTGACTGGCGTCCCTTAGGAATCTGTCCTAGAACGGTACTTTTCCTGATCATTTGACTGGCGTCCCTTAGGGATCTGTCCTGAGAACGGTACTTTTCCTGATCATTTGACTGGCGTCCCTTAGGGATCTGTCCTGAGAACGTTACTTGTCCTGATCATTTGACTGGCGTCCCTTAGGGATCTGTCCTGAGAACGTTACTTGTCCTGATCATTTGACTGGCGTCCCTTAGGGATCTGTCCTGAGAACGGTACTTTTCCTGATCATTTGACTGGCGTCCCTTAGGGATCTGTCCTGAGAACGGTACTTTTCCTGATCATTTGACTGGCGTCCCTTAGGAATCTGTCCTAAGAACGGTACTTTTCCTGATCATTTGACTGGCGTCCCTTAGGGATCTGTCCTGAGAACGGTACTTTTCCTGATCATTTGACTGGCGTCCCTTAGGGATCTGTCCTGAGAACGTTACTTGTCCTGATCATTTGACTGGCGTCCCTTAGGGATCTGTCCTGAGAACGGTACTTTTCCTGATCATTTGACTGGCGTTCCCTTAGGAATCTGTCCTAAGAACGGTACTTTTCCTGATCATTTGACTGGCGTCCCTTAGGAATCTGTCCTAAGAACGGTACTTTTCCTGATCATTTGACTGGCGTCCCTTAGGGATCTGTCCTGAGAACGGTACTTTTCCTGATCATTTGACTGGCGTCCCTTAGGAATCTGTCCTAAGAACGGTACTTTTCCTGATCATTTGACTGGCGTCCCTTGGGGATCTGTCCTGAGAACGGTACTTTTCCTGATCATTTGACTGGCGTCCCTTAGGAATCTGTCCTAAGAACGGTACTTTTCCTGATCATTTGACTGGCGTCCCTTAGGGATCTGTCCTGAGAACGGTACTTTTCCTGATCATTTGACTGGCGTCCCTTAGGGATCTGTCCTGAGAACGTTACTTGTCCTGATCATTTGACTGGCGTCCCTTAGGGATCTGTCCTGAGAACGGTACTTTTCCTGATCATTTGACTGGCGTCCCTTAGGGATCTGTCCTAAGAACGGTACTTTTCCTGATCATTTGACTGGCGTCCCTTAGGAATCTGTCCTAAGAACGGTACTTTTCCTGATCATTTGACTGGCGTCCCTTAGGGATCTGTCCTAAGAACGGTACTTTTCCCTTATCATCGTGAATGATATATCGGAGAGACAGAGCCCTATAAATCCCCAGGGGTGAAAGATGCCAAGAAAAAAAATTATATAAGACAGGAAAAGACCACGAGAAGACCTCTACAGCCTACATGACTGGTCTGACAGGTGACCGTTGAACTTAGACCTCAGCAAGTGCAAGGCTGGACTGCTGCCTCACATTCAATACGCAATGAAGGCTTCCTTACCTTCACTCCCGTGCAGTGACGTTAACAGCGATGTCAATAGCGACGTCAACAGCGAAGCCAACAGCGACGTCTTCAGAGGTCGGCGACACTCATTTCGGCATCTGGATTTTCTACTCATTTGTTATATCAAATTGTGTATAAAAGTATACATACACATACACGTCTTAATAATAAAGAAAATATATTCAGAAAAACTGAGCAGCAGCTAAATATAATATTGATTACTGGATCTTGAGAACGTACGTCGTTGAATGTACGTCTTGAACGTATTATTATTATTATTATTATAATCAAAAAGAAAAGCTAAGTCACAAGGGCTATACAGCGTCTTGAACGTAGATTTTTCTAAACAATGTTTTCCTAAATATGTTTTATAACGTATGTTTAATAACATCTGTTTTATAACGTATGTTTAATAACATCTGTTTTATAGCGTATGTCTTCTGACACATTGTAAACACTCTCTGAAATGCTTCTTAATATCCGTTAACTTCCTGTGAATTTACAACTTTCTCACACTGACACCAACCACTAAGACAGGAGGAAGAAACCCAAGCACTGACTCCAAGATATATGGTGTGTTCTTAATCTACCTTCCTGGAGTTCCAGTGTACGAACTTCATGGTCCAGTCAGAAACCTAATATGACGTGTCGGCCAATAAGAATTCAAGAATTACCTTCAAGTGCCCCCGAACCACTTGTTAGCCTCACCTCAATTACCTTTGCGTTGGTAAGAATTTTGTCATCACTCATAAACCAAAATTGAGAGTTAGTGTTATAAATAGACGTGTATATACGTTCATTGTATATACCTTAAGACTTTATTTTGATACATATTTTAGAGATTGAAGTATTTTTGATTGGGGAGGAGAGGTGATATGCAGCCTTAATGATCCTTGGAGTAGTAGACACACTTAAGCCCAAGTGCGTGTGTGTAGACCTTCTAATTTGCACATACATAAAATATATATAACCTTGGTAAAAAGGTTATTTCTGCAGACCCAGCTGAACACAACGAAAAAATGGACGTAATGGTCATTAACTCTCAGGGCGGATATAGTGGCCATATAGCCGGCCAGAGAAACATGGGCTTGCCTATCTTCACCTGCTTATAGACACACCGTCTTGCCACGCCTCCACTGCAGGGCCACATCACAGTACCCACATCACAGTAGAGGTAAGCAGATGTATGATAAAGCTCACGGTTCAGGGAGAGTGACCTAGTAGCGACCAGTGAAGAGACGGTGCCAGGAGCTAGGACTCGACCCCTGCAACCTCAACTAGGTGAGTACAGTACCCACATCAGAGTGCCAATACCACAGTGCCTCCACCAGTGTTCACATATAGTGCCTCCACCAGTGTCCACACAACAATGCCTCCACCACAGTGCCCACACACACGTGTCCACTGGATGTGGGTCGCATACTGGGGCAAAATTAACCTAAGTTGTCCCGAAATGCTCTCCATACACGAGAGCTTCTACATAGTCGTCACTGATGTCAGCTATGGTCGTATATGTAATGCTACTTGTAGAAATAAAGATATTATATATTATTATTATATTTGCCCAAACATAGTGCCACGGGTCATCTTTTAACAGAGAACTGTTTCATAGCTTTACTCTGTCGAGTGAACTGTACACTACTAGCTAATGATTCATTCCTTAGTACTGCTCTCGGTGCATATATACCGGTGGCCTGGAGGTGGCCCGGTGGCCTGGTGGCTAAAGCTCCCGCTTCACACACGGAGGGCCCGGGTTCGATTCCCGGCGGGTGGAAACATTTCGACACGTTTCCTTACACCTGTTGTCCTGTTCACCTAGCAGCAAATAGGTACCTGGGTGTTAGTCGACTGGTGTGGGTCGCATCCTGGGGGACAAGATTAAGGACCCCAATGGAAATAAGTTAGACAGTCCTCGATGACGCACTGACTTTCTTGGGTTATCCTGGGTGGCTAACCCTCCGGGGTTAAAAATCCGAACGAAATCTTATCTTATCTTAAAGGTGGGCCCAGTGTGTGTGCGTGTGTGTGTGAACGTATTCACCTATTTGTGGTTGCAGGGACGAGTCACAGCTCCTTTATGTAAGTCGGCTGTTGTGGGTAGAATCCTGGAGAGGAGGATACAAGAGCCCCAATGGTAGTAACTTTACTAAACTTTCTAAATAATATGTTAAAAATAAGTAACTGAATAAATTGGTTGAGTCTCCGCTGAAAATAAAATGAGTTTGAAGTTACAGAAAATGGAGGAACGGCACACATCATAAAGCATGGAGGTTGTGTAGGGCTAACTAACCTTTGCAGATGAAGTCTAGAGTTGAGGTTAAGGACATGATGTGCAAACATCTGGATATCTTTATTGTAGACGTTTCGCCATCCAGTGGCTTTATCAATACAGATTCTAGGACATAATAGGAAGACAGTAGAACTATATACAAAAGATGAGGTAATCAGTCCCTCGGCCTTGGAGTTCGTGTTCACAGCATCGGTGGTTACACGCATCGTTAGATCTTCACGATTGCTGTGAACACTAACTCAAGGCCGAGGGACTGATTACCCATCTTTGTATATAGTTCTACGTCTTCCATTTATGTCTAGAATCTGTATTGATAAAGCCACTGGATGGGAGAACTCTACAATAAAGATTACCCTTTGGATGGTTGCACAATGGGTCTGTAAACTTCAAATTGTCGGTATTTTATAGACTTTCTTGCACAACTAAGCTAAAGGAGTTGGTTATGGGCACCGAAGTCTTGAAGAATCTTCAACACTTCGGCGTTATCACCAACTCAATGCTTAGATGATTACCCCGTCGTTCTATATTATGATTCTACAGTCTTCACGTATTATATTCTAGTTTGTATGATATAAGCCACTGATGGGAAACTTCTGCAAATAAAGATAACAAGGTCCCAATGTAAATCACTTTGCTAACTTTTTTGGTTATCTCAGTAATTTACACATATGCTGTGATGTATGATAATTTATGTAACTGTATATGTGTGTACTTAGACATGAATACATCTACTTATTTAAGCAGATTGAATAATTTACGTGTCCCGTAGCTGGATCGTTACCACACTCGGCTCACACACTGAGGTCCGGAGTTTGAATCTCTTTCGGTACGGCTGGAAAACATTAGGAACGTGTTTCCATAAGACACCTGCTGTCCATGTTCACCCATCAGTTTAAAATGGGTACCTGCGTGTTAGTCGACTGGTGTGGGTTGCATCCTGGGACAAAACTGACGTAATTTGCCCGAAATTACGTCTTTCTGCATACGGCTTTCTGTAGTAGTATGTCACTGATGTCAGCTATGGTCTGTATGCCTTGTACATGTACTGGTAGACATAAAAATTATTATTATATGTGTGTAAATTCATATATACATACATATAACATACATATATACATACATACATACATACATACATGCACTAACTAGTATTCATTCCATTCATACTCTAAGTAGCCTCCAATACTCACTAAATAATTCAGTGTATGTAAAAGTCTATATCGTTTGACAATGCATTTATTTCTGTTTGTGAATAATTACTACGATATTTAAATGACGTTTACGCAATACGCATTGTTCTATGTAGATTAAACTTTGAGCTCAACTGCAGTTCACCAAAATAAAACCTGATATTTGACCTCTGTGCGTAGTTGATGATTTATGAAACATCCTACATGACCTCTGACTCCAGTTCTGGCATGGGCAGCGCCCACATGATGGGTATGTGGGGCAGGATAATGCTATTAACATAACTAACGTAGGACAGGGCGGATTCTTTCGTTGTTGCTCCTTATAACTGTTTTTTTTTTTTTTTTGTATTTTCTAACTAATACTAAGCTGTAAATTCTAATTCGTGTTAAGAGCTAAATCCATATGGGTCATCACCCAAAGTATTTACTTTGACTTTTCTGGATTATCCTGGGTAATCTACACATTTGCTATGTATGATAATTTATAAGAACATAAGAATATAAGAATGGAGGAACACTGCAGAAGGCCTACTGGCCCATGCGAGGAGGTCCTTATCAAAACGACTACTACCTAAAGCTTCCCTAGAAATAACTCCCGTACCCAATGACACCAATCAAACCCAGCCCCTCCCACTCATATATTTGTCCAGTCTCTTCTTAAAACTACCCAAGGTCCTAGCCTCTATCACCCCACTGGGAAGACTGTTCCACGCATCTACAACTTTTAGAAAACCAGTACTTACCTATGTCCTTTCTAAATCTAAATTTATCCAACTTAAATCCATTATTCCTGGTTCTTACCTGGTTCGACACCCTCAGTACTTTATTAATATCTCCCTTGTTTATGCCCGTCATCCACTTATACACTTCAATGATATCTCCCCTCATTCTACGCCTCTCCAGAGAGTGGAGATTTAAGGCTTTAAGTCTGTCTTCATACGGGAGGTTCCTTACACAGTAAATCATTTTAGTCATTCTTCTCTGTATGTTCTCTAATGAGTCTATATCCATCCTGTAGTAAGGGGACCAAAACTGAGCAGCATAATCTAAATGAGGCCTCACTAGTGATGTACAGAGCTGTAAAATAACTTTTGGACTTCTGTTACTTACACTTCTTGAGATAAATCCAAGTAATCTGTTGGCCTTGTTGCGCACACTAAGGCACTGCTGCCTTGGCTTTAGATTTTTTCTCACCATGACTCCCAAGTCCTTTTCACATTCTGTATGATCAAGCTCTACTTCACCTAGATTATAGCTTCGAGGGTTATTTTCATTACCAAGGGCAAGTACCTTGCACTTATCCACATTGAACTTCATCTGCCACTTTTCAGACCAGGACATCAATTTGTCCAAATCGTCCTGGAGTTCATTGCTATCCTTCTCAGAGTGAATTATACGGCCTATCTTTGTATGATCTGCAAACTTACTCATGTCACTCGTAATCCCTTCATCAAGGTCATTAATGTAAATTATGAACAAGAGAGGGCCCAAAACTGATCCTTGTGGAACGCCACTAGTGACTAATCTCCATTCAGATTTCACTCCATTAATGGAACTCTCTGCTTTCCATTGGTAAACCGTGCCTCTATCCATGAGCATCAAAATGGTATACAATACCGACAGGTTGGTAGGTAAGACACAGGCAACAGTTAGGCAACTTTATTCCGAAACGTTTCGCCTACACAGTAGGCTTCTTCAGTCGAATACAGAAAGTAATTGTATTTATGTGTACCTGCACCTGAATGAACTTACTAATACCGCTTCTTTCCCATTACATATACTCCGTCTTCTCTCATCTTCCACGGTATTTACTCGCCCCTTCCTTCTCTTCCACGCCAGCTGACATTTCCTCCTCTTCCACTCTAACATTCTTATCCCCTACACAATGTCCTTTCTTTCTTAATTGAAGTTTCTTACACATTTTTTCGACGTCTTTCCAAAACTTTCTCATCTCCATTTCACCTTCATTGTTGAGAAATAAAAGTCACAACACTGTGGCTGGAACAATTCACAACTTACCCGCCAACTGGAAAT